AAGAGGTGTCTGACTAATAATGAAAGGTACGGTGAAATCTAGATTGCAGTCCCTGTTTTACACATAGCCCCTTCCATACGCTGAGTTAGGACCTGTGCGGGTGAATGTCACCCTAACAGCCTACTTACACTGAAAAATTACTCCTGTTATCTTGGTTTCCCCAGGCCCTGTACTAACACACACAGAATTAAACACACTTAGCGCTTGTACATTGGCAAAGATCGGTGTAAATCACAACCTTTTAATGATATGTTAAACAGGACAGCCTCTCGCATCCAGAAGAGGAGATCTTGTTGGTAAGCCTAACAATCAGGAGGAACTTGTGCCAGTAACCATGCCAAAAGATTGCCAAGCTATGAAAGCAATAGAAAATTCAGGTACAGTATCTCAAAGACTACTGTAATTTTTAAAGTGAGATTTTTGAGCTTTTGTACAGGTAAAGTAGGTCTAGTTAAAGCTACATGAAATATTTTTTTCGCTTCACTCCACAAGCTGTTTGCACAGGAGTTACAGGCCTAAGTTACCAGTGCGCTATTGATAGACATTGCAATCATTATTTTTACTACTTCCTTATAATTTATTTGGAGCTCTGCAGTGACAGTAATAACAATTAAAAAAAAAAAATCATTAGCTTGACTAAGTATTTGCCACAAAGGAACGCTTATTCATGGTGACTTTAAAATGTCATAGCCCTGCTCTGAAGTGGTACAGAAACTGAAGTTTAATGTTTATAGCCAACAGGGGATTAAAGCTTTGTGGCTCTGGTACTCCACTATGAACACATAACAATATTTTTCTTCTAACATAGTTGCATCTTGTTGTGGTTTAACCCCAGCCAGCAACAGCATCACACAGCTGCTCGCTCACTCCTGCCATGGTGGGATGGAGGAGAGATTCAGAAGAGTAAAAGTGAGAAAACTTGTGGGTTGAGATAAGAACAGTTTAGCAATTGAAATAAAATAGTAGTAATCATAATAATTAATAACAATATACAAAGCAAGTGATGCACAATGCAATTGCACCCCAGCCAGCCCCCGAGCAGCGGCCCCCCCGGCCAGCTTTCCCCCAGTTTATGTACTGAGCATGACGTCCCATGGTATGGAATGTCCCTTTGGCCAGTTGGGGTCAGCTGTCCTGGCTGTGCCCCCTCCCAGCTTCTTGTGCACCTCCAGCCTTCCCAGTGGGCAGGGCATGGGAAGCTGGAAAGACCTTGACTTAGTGTAAGCACTGCTTAGCAACAACAAAAGCATCAGTGTGTTATCAACATTGTTCTCATGCTAAATCCAAACCACAGCACTACACCAGCTACTAGGAAAAAAATTAACTACCCCAGCTGCAACCAGGACACTTCTTCATAAAATCTGTTAAACTGCAGCTTGCAGAGGAAGTCTAAAGTACAGGGCAAATTAATCTAACCAGAGCTGTATTACTTACAGGAAAAAGAATTGAGATTACTGACAGCTCACTGCACAGAAACAGCATTTACTATGATGGAAAAGTGTATACCATGGATTAATTCTGTCAGTTTTGCACTGGCCTGTTTCTCATTTTACATGGCCAACACTTTGATCCATGTTATAACGTAGGTACACAGAATCCTGGGAAACTTGCTACCCAAACTAAAGATGAAATAATTTAATCATAGGTACTTGGACAGGAATTTTTCAAACCATTTTAATTATGTTTCATTGTTTACAGCCTGTGTCTTTCTGTGAGTATTACATCCAGAGATAATTTAAGAGCACAACCTGCTTGTAGGCTTAGGTGTGTGGGACATTTGAAAGAAAATGGAAAATTGGTTAGTTGTTACAGTTTAACTCCGGAACATTAAAGCTTGAATATCTTTGTGTTTTCTTTTTCTGTTAAGGAATTTACTCTATTTATGAATTTATGTCTCTAACTTTGCCATTCCTGTGCCTGTAAATACATATATTCTCATGTAGTTTAGGAATGAGTGATAGCACTACACTGATTTCAGACAGATTTTGAGCTCTGCTATATTCCTATAACATCTCAGAATTTCCAGGGGCCTCAGAAGGGTTGTTCCAGATTTACGGTTATATAACTGTATAACACGGGCAGAATTTTATCCCTTTACATTTGCATTCAGAGCTAATACTTTAGTCATCCAGCTCCCTAAACTGGTTATCCAGCCCAGTTCTTCAGTGCTGTTTTAACTGTTGCACTCACAACTTTTATGAATTTCATATAACATTAGATGATGGTAAATAGGTATAAACTGGGCTTTTAAAGATGGAAACTGCTGATATTTTTCACTAATTTCTAAATCTATTATGTCACTAGTACTCTTTGGGAAAGTTCTGATTTACAAAATATGATCTCATGGTGTGTTTTTATCTTATTTTCTTCTTGCCATATTGCCAGAATGTGGTGTATTCAGACAGAGGCAACCAAAATGCATGCTTCAGCAGCCTATGCATGGAGAGAAAGAGTGCAAAGCTGGTTTTCATTTTCTAGAAACAGATCCTAGTTACAGTATACCTCCAGCTGAATGGCTTTTTATTATTGGTTTTGTGGTTTTGATTTTGATTGGGTTCTTTGGTTTTATGTTTTTGAGGCATGTGTATCATATGCTCACAGGAAAAGTCCAAGGTTCAGAAGTTTTCTTAGAATGAATTTAATGCTTTTGAAAGCTTCACTGGAAAACATCATTCTCTGCCTGCTCACAAATACAGCATCTACAACTCCTTCTGCACTATTCAGGAAAGATCCCTTACAAAATACTACATATTTTTCCACCCTTGCTCATAAGGTACTAGTCTAGAAAAGAAAAGATGGCCTGTTTGGTCCTATGCTGAGTTTCTAAGACTACTACAAAAATTCTGTTTAAGAAAGGTCAACTTAAGAAATAATATCTTGAAGAAGATATTAACTTAAGAAGTAATATCTTTTCACTAACCTCTATGAAGAGCTTTTGGTTTTCAAACATCTATGTAGTTCAGCTGAACTGTCAATTCCCCTGCCCTTAGTAATTTAAAACCCGTATTTTCCATAGAACTATTCAGCAGTATGCAAAATATTATTAGCAGAAGGGGAAAAAAAAAGTGATTCTGATCAGAAATCAGAACTGCCTCAGTAAAAGCCTGGTTCAAATATGCACTGAACGGGGCTTAAGTTGCCAGTTTCATTTGTGGGGAGTTCACGTGAAATCACTTACAGTGATCTGGGTCTTCAGGAAAAGCTGTGAAGATCAGCCACTCAGCGATGTCTGTTCTTATCTTGAGCACTAATATATTTTTTTCTCCTTGCTATCTTTTCTTTTTTTTTCATCTAACTATATCTATAAAATTGTGGATTAGTGATAGATAGATACAGATACAATCATTTCCCTTTTTTTGCAGTCCTTTATATTTTTGCTCTCTTTCC